GAGTCTCTCTCTCTCCTGCTGTCTCTCACAAACTCACTCACTACCTATTTTTCTCTATTTTACTCCCTCTCAGCTCTTTGTTGTCATCCTTGATCCCATACAGTAAACTTGCTCTCTCAGAGCCTTTCTTCTACGGTGCTCATAATCAAATTAGATTTGCTCCATGTAGCAGGAGGAAAGACTAACTCTCAGTGCAAACACTGAATAGAAAATGCCCTTCAACTGACATTTGGTTTTTCAATAACTTAACTTAGGCTTAGGTAATAAGGAGAGAACAGTAGGTGTTACACTTCTACACACACACACACACACACACACATTTTATTCCTTGTGGGAACTTTACATACATTCATGGCGCAGTGGCAGGTTATTCTAACCTTAACCATAACCACTACTTCCCTAACACCTAACCTCACCCTAACCTTAAACCATGTTACCACCCTAAAATCCAGTGACTTCCTTGTAGGGACCAGAGGCTGGTCCCTACAAGGATGGCCAAATCCCCACAATGTGAGTGTGTTAACAGGTTTCAGTCCCCATAATGTAAGCAATACAAAGACACACACAAGCACATTTGTTTTCATTCCTCGTGGGGAATTTACAGTGACTTACATTTATTTCCTGGAGACTCACCTTAACCATGAAAACAACTTGCCTTACCTCAGCCTTACCTTAACCTTACCATTATTCCCACCTTAACCAGCATCTGAGGCAGGCAAGTCCCCAATGTTGTGAGTGTGTAAACAAGTTTCAGTCCCCACAATGCGGGTAATGCCAGGCACATGCAGACACACATTTGCATGTAAATAGAGTATTAACTAGGTTAAAGACGACAACAACAAACTCAGAGAGGTTTATGACCTGGAGTGCTCTGAGGTGGTTATTTGCCTAAGGCTCCTGTTTACAACTACACCTGACATGCAGTGTTGTCACACTGCATGTGTCCAGGAATTTACATATATGTGAGAGTGTGTGTGAGCATATGTGTGTTGATGGGTGTCACTTAAGAACTTGAATACTGATTTTGACCATTTTCACTAATACCGCTAATTTTTTACTGGTAAAAATGTTCATTCAAACATATAATTGAAGTATTATGATGACTAAAAGTAGAGTCCTTTCATGATATGTGCCTCAACTTTACCAGTAGTGCTGAAATGATTGAGTTGTTTGATTAGCTGATCAACAGATTATTTAATAGACCATATATATGTGTTAATGACATTCAATGCTTAATAAAGCAAATCAAACAAAGTTTTTACTTTTATTTTCTTTATACAAAAACTCATTCCAGAGTCAACATGAGAATGGTCACATTATCAAGTTTGCTGATGACTCTGTCATAGTGTCTCTTCTCAGTACAAGTGACCCTGACCATGGACGAGTTGTGACGAGTTCATAGAATGGTGCAAACTGTCTTTCTTGGAAATTATTGTGACTAAAACTGAAGAGATGATTATTGATTTTTGTAAGAATCAAGTTAACCTCTCTCCAGTGATGATTGACAGTTAGGCTGGTGAACTCATCCAGCATTATAAATATCTTAGCACATTTATTGACGACAAATTGACCGTGTGTTGTGTGTAAGAAAGCCCACGAGTGAACGTATTTTTATCATAAGCTTCACAGCTTTAATGTTGATAACACTTTTATGAAGATGTTTTATTCCTGTTTTATTGAATATATTATCATCTTTTTTTTTTATTTGCTGGTACTGGTAACTTCCCCTTGAGAACAAGAACAGACTGCAGAGCATTGTTAAAGTGTGTGGTAAGATTGCAGGTGCATCTTTAAACAACCTCTCTAACTTGCACAAGGCTCAGACTCTTAGGAAGGCTAGCTCAGTCCTGGCAGAGTCCACACTTCCTCTGTTCGGTGGGTTTGCAATGCTTCCATCAGGTCACAGACTCAGCCTGCCTAAGTGTAGATTCAAAAATTTCATGGTTTCAGTGGCCATTAGCTTTCTGAATGTTCATGATAACCTCTAGTATGTGTTGACTGTTTCTTTCTGTTTGTGTATGTTCATCGGTACTGCTGGCTGTTGAACAATTTGCCCCTATATAATAAAGTAACTTTTGACCTTTGACCTTGTTTTTATATGTGAACATTTGCTTTTTTTGTTTATATCATTTTAAATTGAATACCTTTGGATTATGGACTACTGACCCGGTACCTTGATCTTTGGGTATCTTTCACTACTGACATTCTGTAAGTAGAGCTGAAATGATTTGTTGATTAATTGATTAGTTGGTCTGCAGAAAAATCATCTGCAATTATTTTAAAATTTGGTTAATCATTTTGATTGTTCTTTTAGCAAAAAATGGCAACTTGATAATGACAGTTCTCCTGCTCTAGCTATTCATTTGGTAAGATTTGCAATTTAATGTGTCTAATCAGTTGATTATTTATGGGTTTTGGACCTTGGGTCTGACAAAAATAAAAACATTACTGTGGGATTTAGGAAACTCACTGCCCTTCACACCTGATTTTTGTAGCTCCCACCTCCTTATCATATGTCTGATCATGAGAAACAATGAACACTGAATTCTGTCTGTCACCTGGTTAAAATTGTTTTGCTCATTCTGCAGTACTACACTGATCATCATTATCCATGCTACTCACATGCCTAACTGTTTGCCACCACAACACTGTTTATCCAGTTCACCAAGCACATGAGCAGTCATAATGACACTAATTGCCCAAGAGCTCACTTTGTCCCTGGGTGTGTGCTGCATTGTGCCTTTAGAACATCTGTGTTCCAGTGTTAAACCAATCTATTTTTTGCACATTCCAAAACTACAAGAGGATGGGAAACGGCACCACTCCCGTTCATAAATAATGTGTATGGGGGATGGGGGATGTGCTACTGTTTCTTTGTGTGTCTGTTTGAGATGGGATTTGGACCTCTTCAGCCCACTTCAGGTCTGAGAGAGTGAATCAGCCCATGACATCTGACCCTAATGCTATCAAACTTTGCTTGATGGTGAGGAAACAAGAAAACACTGTCAGCAAAAACTAGTATTTTGTGACAGTAGAATCACCTTTATGCTGGTTTCAGCTTGTCGGGAATTCAGTCTATTCCTGTACTACCACAGTACATACAGTACATTCTATTATTTAACTGAGGGTGGTACAGGTGTTCAGTTACTCTTTAGAAAACAATTCAAATGTCAGTCAAAGAGACCAACGTTTGATTTGTGCTGTTCGTAATCTGCATCAGTCAGTTATTACAGACTATGGAAATAGAACATACTGTATGTATTTTCAGTTTTTGCATTTTAAAGAGAAAACATGGTGAAGTACTGTAATGACATACTTTGGTCTGCAACTAGTAATTATTTCCATTATCAGTTGTTCTGTTTCTCAATTGATTAATCAATCATTTGGTCTATAAAACATAAAAAAAATACACAGTGAAGATGCCAGTTATGTTCTACTGCACAAGTTAAATCGTTGTGTGTTTAGTTTGACCAACAGTCCAGATCCTCAAAATATTGAATTTACTAAAATGTAAGACCAAAAAAGCAAATTCTCACGTTCCAAAACTGGAAGCCATCAAATGTCTGCCATTTTTCTCGAATAGAGCCTTAAACAATGTTTTCAGTCATCAAAGTAGTTGCTCAGTAAAGTCACATTCTGGCTAACTTTATACAAAATGCATAGACATCTGATGAGTTTCTCAGCTGACACTCAGAGAGCAAGTGAATACTCTTCCCAAACTGTTGAAATATTCATTTAAAAATTATAAGCTTAACAATCAAATAAAATTTAAGTCCATAAACCTATTCCTTTACTTTCACTTTTCAGTCAGTGAAAGGTTTAGTAGTACAGTAAGTCAGCCAACTTCATATGAGGTGCAACATGATTTAGGTGGATAAATCAGGTCAGGTCTTTGTACCCCCAAATCTCACCGCTAACTTTGGCCACAGTCATACTGTATATGACCAACACATATTGCAAAACATAGAACTGGATAGCACTAAATTATCAGAAAATGGGAACATATTGTGCTGTGTAGATGTGTTTTCCAAACAAGTGGAATTGCTTTTGAATTGTCTTCTCTGTTATTTTAGGATTGCAGAGAGATGAGGGAAGCACTATACCGCTTCATGCGGGAGGTTAATGTGTGCCTGTGCTCACTTGTCAGATATAATTGAAGGGAACAGCTTATGAAAATGAGGTGGCAGGGATGAGGTCTTTAATTAGATCAAGATCACGGGCAGAAATGAATTAGAATCACCACTCTCATTACCAGTAGCAAAACTGGAGCAGCAGGATAGTGAATACAGGAAGGAAAACTTTAATATCTCACAGACATTGTTGCTGTATAAACATGATTTTGAAGAACAGCTTTATCTTGTTGTGCCTCCCAAACCAGAATATATGAGAGTACCTACGCTTAAACCAGCATTAATCTCCATGTTGCCATATTTGATGCCTCACACCATAAATTCACTGGGTTCATTATTTGTAAGTAATCTTATGCATGTTAAAAGCTCAACTTAGGCTAGATATATGCTTAATAATGCAAAATAGAACTTTCATGCCATCTAGTGGGGAGATTGTTTGAAAGAATAACAGGTGACAGAATTATCTGATAAAAAAATAATCCAGATAAATTGAATTTATTTAAAAAAAAATTCCACAAATACAGTTTTGTCACTTGATTGCAAATAATGATGAGCAACTATGATGATATTTGATCATATGTCCATCAACAGTCATACCAAAGATGTTAACTAACTGTATGGAAAGGCCAACATGATTATAATTCAATAAAGCTTTTTATTCATTTCGTATTACAAAAAGATAAATTAGCATATACCTTGAATTACTTAAGTCGCACTGATATATGTGACGTTAAATACTGGATAAGGGGAAATTCACGCCCAGAGTGAAGCCTGTCAGGAAGACCTTCTCCGCAGCCCAACCCTGAATTCATCTATCTGGTTGGCGGGTTCTCTGGCATGGTCTGCCTAAAGGGTAAAAGCCTGGGTCTAAGGCATGCAGCGAGTCAGAATGCTAATATAGGAAGGAAACATGCTCTGCTTGGCTTGCAAACCAATAAGCATCACCATAAGAAGCAGCAGCAGCTGTGCCGGGGTGCAGTTAAACGTTCCCCACATGTGTTTGATCGGAGTTAGCAAGGTGGAGTCTGTTTCTTTGTAAACAGACGAAAACTCATACCGACTTGCGCATTTCCTGTCAGCGCAGTCTTGGACGCCAGTTTCTTTGTAGCTTTTGAGGTAAGTTTGTGTGGTTTTATTAACACCTATGTAATGTGTTTGAGTTGGTTAACAGCAAAAATTGCAGCCACGTTACTCGAGAGTAGTACCAGTTAGCTAGTTAGCTAGCTAACGTAACTGCTGTCTGTAACTGTAAGTCATGCAGGTGGTACATATTAATCCTAAGTCACTGTATGTTAATTTTTCGTTTCTAAGACAAAGTTAACATTGGGTTTGGACAAATGACAAAGCTGCCCCGGGGCATTTTGGGTAAGGATAATGTTCGTAATTTCCCAAATAGTTTGCCAGCTTTGTATCGTTAGCATAACGTTATGAGTTGGGCCTTGCTTTACAAACAGTTAACTTTTGTCATGATGTCAAGAGTTCTGGACTGAAGTTACCCAGAAAGGTCGCAGGTTTTATTCATATCTGCGCGCGTATTTTAACACTGGTATTTCCCGCCATTCAGTATAGTGTGGCTGTTAGGTTGCTGCTTCTGCTATGAGCAGCTTTAAAACACAGTCTTGTTGTGGGGTGGGTTACTTTTAACTTGGTTGGATTCACTTCGTCAGTGTCATTATGTGTTATTGGTCTGGATCATGTAAAGCCAAATGAATCCAGTAATCCAGATGTAAACAAACTGGCAACCCCGCCTCCAAAATTCAAACCACAGAAACTGAACTTGTTACCACACAATTGACTACAATGTCATTTTAACGTTTTCTACTTTATGCTTGGGTAAGGGTCGTAACATATGAGTAAAACATAATTTTGTTTTTTTTATCCAATGGGACATATTGTACCTATGTAAATGCTCTAACTCTGGTCAATACGCTTGTAATTTAAACAGATTCTGGCTTTTAACAGAAATATTTCGTAGCAGACATTTTGGCAAGTCATAACAGGACAATCACAGGTATTAACTGAAATTGGGCCACATGGTGCAACTGAGCCATCATTAACAAAAAAAAATTCACCCATGCTTTTCCTGCTGTGACAAGTCAAAATTACTGCTGTGAAAATGGTCTACAATAGTCTACTTGAGTTACAGGGCATTTGTAACATGTCTGCATTGTGTCAGCTCTTTATGTCACATCTATTTTTGATTTGATTTGATTAGATTTATTCTTTCAAGCATGTAAAGACAGTTGATATGTAAACACACATAATTTTACGCATATCCAACAAATGCTAATCCAATATCAATTTGCTTATATCTAGTACATGCTTGAATGGAGTAGGAAGAAGTCAGACTTATCATATACTAAAGAATTATTACAGAGTGTTAACATTCATACACCACACCCACAATGTTCCATCTGGTTAATCATTAAACCTGTTCTTGCATATATCTTGATTGACACATACCTTTATATTTATGTTTAAACTCGTCAATTCTATTACTATTTTTTTATGTCTACACTTAAATTATTCCATAGTTTTACCCCACTTATGGAAATACAAAGTCTTTATTTTTTATTTATTTTTTTTTATTTTTTTTATTATTTTTTTTTTTTAAGTAGTTGAGCAGGTTTTAGTTGGCACATGCCTTGGAGGTGCTGTTAAAATATCTGTGCAGGATATTTACTTAAGTTTTGTCTGTGTGTTTAGTTTTTACATGCCACAATGAAGTACATCCTGGTTACGGGTGGTGTCATATCTGGTATTGGTAAGGGTATCATTGCCAGCAGCGTGGGAACAATCCTCAAATCATGCGGCCTTCACATCACAGCCATCAAAATCGACCCATATATCAATATTGATGCTGGAACCTTTTCACCTTATGAACATGGTGAGTAATTATATGTATACAGCAGGGTTGCTTCTTTTATTGCTTTGGATGTATTGTCTTTTGTTTTATTTGATTGTGTGGTTGAGTCCTGTGGTTAAAATTTGACAAGATGTAGTGTGGAAGCAAGGTCATCTTCAGCTGAGTGGCCTGGGGTCAAGCTGTTTCCATGCAACTTGCATTTGTTTTGTCAGTGAGCAAAGCACTGAATTTCTGTCAGTTTAGGATGTGCTGCTTCACTAGTGAATGTAATGACTGTGCTGTCTAGGTGAAGTATTTGTTCTTGATGATGGCGGGGAAGTGGATCTCGACTTGGGGAACTATGAGCGTTTCCTGGATGTCCGTCTTATCAGAGACAATAACCTCACCACCGGAAAGATCTACCAGTCTGTAATCAGCAAGGAGAGGAGGGGAGACTACCTGGGCAAAACTGTACAAGGTTAGACGGTTTTTTGTTGTTGGTTATTATTTGGTGTTGGAAGGAGACTTTAATACAGAAGCCGGTTATAAGGGAAAATTGCTTTGTCTTTGTGTGTGCTTTGACCGTTTCGTGTCATCAGTCTTAAATACAAAACTCATCTCTTTATGAAGGTCATAATGTCCAGTTTTGTTCAAACTGTTTTAGAAAGGTGTTGATTCAACTGTATGGGCATTTTGGAAGATGATATTTGTGGTGCTGTGTTGCCTTAATATCAAGTGTTTCTGTTATGTTGTTCACCCCATTGAATTGTATAGAGCGTCTGATGTGCAGTGCTGATTCTTTTTTTCTTGTTTTCTCAGTGGTGCCCCACATCACAGACGCCTTGTCTCAGTGGTGCCCCACATCACAGACGCCATCCAGGAGTGGGTATTGAAGCAGGCCAGGATCCCAGTTGATGAAGACGGTGTGGAGCCTCAAGTTTGTGTCATAGAGGTAAGGTTAATGTAGTTCGTGTTGTTGGCCAAATGAAAGGACACTGAACACTGTCTTCGTCAAGTCAGAAGTTCTATATTTCAGCAATTCCTGTGTGCCAAACTGATTAGTGAGCAAGACATTTTTTCTAGTGCATTAAAGAGGAGTGGAGGAGGTTTTTCCCAGAAATGAAATCAACCATGTTGCCTCTAGCACCATTCAGCAAACTGTGGGGGAAATTGCTGAAGTTGCACCAATGGGTTTGTCAGTGAGGCAGAAAACCTTTTTTGAAAGACTGAAACATTGATGGGTTTAAACACAGATGTGCTCAGGCGAGTCTGAAATTATTCTCTTGTTTAAGCCTGGCTTTGCAGCTGTGGGAAAGTATGTTTTACTTACTCAAAAATAAATAAAATGATCTAAGTGGTTTAAATCGAAAGAGTCTCACCGTATATACTGCAGAAGTATTTAATCTTTAGTAAATCTGCATCTGACAGCTGCTAGATCCTCATAAAACAAGTTAAGTTATTACCCTGCCTCCAGCAGTTCTTTCTGTTTAGCACACAAAAAACCAGTTCTGGCATTATTATGCAGCTCATGACGTTCTGCACTTTCTAAGTCTGTGTCAGAGCCAACTTGAAACAATCTGTGTGTTCGTGTAGGCAGCCCAGTAGTCTGACTGGTGTTTTGTGTCAACAGCTAGGAGGAACAGTGGGGGACATCGAGAGCATGCCCTTCATAGAGGCTTTCAGACAGTTCCAGTTCAAGGTGAAGAGAGAAAACTTCTGCAACATTCACGTCAGCTTGATACCACAGGTATGGTGAACTGGTGGACACGCACATCATGTATAAATCACCAAATGACAGAGTTGGACAATTACAGGGTGAATGCATTTTTCTTATGCTTTTTCCCCCCATTCAAAAATACTTGATTTTGTTCTGGGGTTCAAATCGAAGGAGAGGAGTGAGCGAACAATAAAAACTGCACCACAGATTTACACATGGTTGCTATAGTTATGATGTGAAAGTGCTGTTGTCTCCTCAGCCCAAAACAACAGGAGAGCAGAAGACCAAACCGACCCAGAGCAGTGTCCGAGAGCTCAGAGGGCTGGGCTTGTCTCCGGATCTGGTGAGTTAGATTTACAGTTTGTTCTTTAAGTTGGTGTTGCCTCCTGTTCATTAGATATAAACATGCCATGCCATTTCTTTCTCTTTGTTTAGATAAATCACTAGTCCTTAGCTAAAGATTGGTCCCATACTGTTGTAGACAATCACATGAAATCTGACTAAATAGAAGTGTCTTAAACAGGAAACTTCAAGTCTGATGGTTTTTCTTTTTCCTCCTTTGTCAGATTATGTGCCGCTGTATAACACCCCTTGAATCAGCTGTCAAAGAGAAAATTTCCATGTTTTGTCACGTGGAGCCCACACAGGTGAAGTGCTGTCAGTTTCTACAATAAACGGCCTCACTTGACGCTCTGTGTGTAGAGCATGCTGCCAACATTAGGTATGAACTAGTGCAAGTCATGTTGTCACCACCTATAAATTAGGGCAGGGCGATTCATTGTGTCTTATTTTCAGTTATGATTTTGGCTTCCCACAGTTATGAAAGCAAAATAATAGAGATAAAATGATTATTGTTCCGCACTCATTTTCTCAATGATGCTTTGGTTTTGTGTTATAAAGCCAGCACAGCCCTTCAGCACTTTACATCATTTCATTTGCTCACATCAGGTAGAGTGAAACATCACTCGAGGTGACACCACCTGAGCTCCTTACTGCATGTGCATTAAACCCTCGTGAGTAAAAAGTCACTAAGAGTAATCCATCAGAACTCCTGCTAAATGAGCATAAACTTACACAGGAGTGATCATTTCAGCTTTGCCTGCAGTCTGTCATCCACTGTCAGCTTGTTAACCATAGCAAGCTCGTTAAGAGAATGACTAATTATTATGAACAAGCTAAAATGAAAGATGGCTGCATATAGCCTGTTAAGTGAGAGAGAGGGACAGCGATGGATGGCGCTGTGTACTTTAGCAGATTCGTTAGGTTATGACAGGCAATACTATTAACCTGAAGTAGTGAAGTTTTATTTGTAAAATAAATAGAGTAATATTTCCTCTGGACTGTCGGTCACATTAAGTAGATTAAATACTTGGTTTTTCAGTTGAATCATATTTAAAGGTCTAGAGCCAAGGTGTTTTTTTAAGTTCAGTAAATGCATGATGTTTCCATGTTAAATAATTGTGATCTCAGTACTGAACAAAATGTAATATCGATTATTTTATTTATTTATTTTTTTGCCATAATGCAGCCCTACTGTACATACAGTTGTGGTATTGTGAAATGTATTAGATAAAGGGTATTTAAAGAACATAAGCTTAAGGAGTGATTAAATTTCTAGGTTTTTATTAGGGACAATTATCACAAATTACAACAATGTAAAAATGATGACATTGGTCAGATATACAGTGGTGTGAAAAAGTATTTGCCCCCTTACTGATTTCTTATCTTTTTGCATGTTTGTCACACTGTAATGTTTCAGATCATCAAACAAATTTAAATATTAGTCAACGATAACACAAGTAAACACATCATGCAGTTTTTAAATGAAGGTTTTTATTATTAAGGGAAAACAAAATCCAAAACTACAAAGCCCTGTGTGAATAAGTGTTTGCCCCCTAAACCGAATAACTGGTTGGGCCACCCTTAGCAGCAACAACTGCAATCAAGCGTTTTCGATAACTTGCCATGAGTCTGCCACAGCGCTGTGGAGGAATTTTGGCCCACTCATCTTTGCAGAAGTGTTGTAAGTCAGCCACATTGGAGGGTTTTCGGGCATGAACTGCCTTTTTAAGGTCATGCCACAGCATCTCAATTGGATTCAGGTCAGGACTTTGACTAGGCCACTCCAAAGTCTTCATGTTGTTTTTCTTCAGCCATTCAGAAGTGGACTTGCTGGTGTGCTTTGGATCATTGTCCTGCTGCAGAACCCAAGTTCGCTTCAGCTTGAGGTCACAAACAGATGGCCGGACATTCTCCTTCAGGATATTTTGGTACACAGCAGAATTCAGGGTTCCATTTATCACAGCAAGTCTTCCAGGGCCTGAAGCAGCAAAACAGCCCCAGACCATCACACTACCACCACCAATATTTTACTGTTTGTATGATGTTCTTTTTCTGAAATGCGGTGTTACTTTTACGCCACACATAATGGGACACACACCTTCCAAAAAGTTCAACTTTTGACTCGTCTGTCCACAGAGTATTATCCCAAAAGTCTTGGGGATCATCAAGATGTTTTCTGGCAAAACTGAGACGAGCCTTTATGTTCTTTTTGCTCAGCAGTGGTTTTCGTCTTGGAACTCTGCCATGCAAACCATTTTTGCCCAGTCTCTTTCTTATGGTGGAGTCATGAACACTCACCTTAACTGAGGCAAGTGAGGCCTGCAGTTCTTTGGATGTTGTTGTGGGGTCTTTTGTGACCTCTTGGATGAGTTGTCGCTGCGCTCTTGGGGTAATTTTGGTCGGCCGGCCACTCCTGGGAAGGTTCTCCACTGTTCCATGTTTTCGCCATTTGTGGATAATGGCTCTCACTGTGGTTCGCTGCAGTCCCAAAGCTTTAGAAATGGCTTTATAACCTTTTCCAAACTGATAGAGCTCAATTATTCTCTTTCTCATTTGGTTTTGAATTTCTTTGGATCTCGGCATGATGTCTAGCTTTTGAGGATCTTTTGGTCTACTTCACTTTGTCAGGCAGGTCCTATTTAAGTGATTTCTTGATTGCGAACAGGTGTGGCAGTAATCAGGCCTGGGTGTGGCTAGAGAAATTGAACTCAGGTGCGATAAACCAGTGTTTTGACAGGGGGGCAAACACTTGTTCACACAGGGCTATATAGTTTTGGATTTTGTTAAATTAAATAACATGTTTTGTAACTCCCTCCAGGTGATTTGTGTCCACGATGTCTCATCAGTCTACAGAGTGCCTCTGCTGCTGGAGGACCAGGGTGTTGTGAGCTACTTGTGTCAGCGGTTGAACCTGCCTGTCGAGATGAAACCCAGAAAGATGCTCGCAAAGTGGAAGGAGATGGCTGACAGGTGAGTCAGTTTGTCTTAGAACCTTACATTTTTTTCTGCTTGTCTTGCTCAAGGAAAGGAAGGACAACAATGCAATTTCTTTACCTTGTAGTTGTGGTGCTGTCACTTGAATTGCAGAGACACTTTGTCACCTGTAGGAATCGGTTACAAATCTAAGAATGTTGAACTGTGTAAAACAAATGTTCCTCAGTCCCTATAGCATACTAGAAGTTAAGGTAAAATCTGAACTCAGCTGTTACTACCTGAACACTGAAATCTTATTTGTGAAGTTGTGATCAAATAATGCTCTGGGTCACTTCTGACAATCATCTTTCTCTCTCCTCAGATCTGACCGTCTCTTGGAGCCTGTTTCTATAGCTCTGGTGGGGAAGTACACAAAGTTGGCTGATGCATACACCTCAGTAATTAAGGCCCTAGAACACTCAGCCTTCGCCATTAATCACAAATTAGAGGTTAAGGTATGGAAGTAGTTCATGTCTTTGTGTCTTGGGTATTCTGGCATTGGCATCACTGTTTGTGGCAACACAGTGTGTGTTGACAGTTTTGTTAGAACACGCATGGAATGATGCAGACTGATTTCATGTGGTGTTTGCTGTTATTTTAGTACTTAGACTCTGCAGAGCTGGAGTCTACTGCTCTGCGAGATGAGCCGGTGAAATATCATGAGGCCTGGCAAAAGCTCTGCAGTTCCCAGTGAGTAGACAAAACTGGAAGAACAGTTGTCAGTAGGCTTGATGATGCTGAAAATTACAGATGTCAACATTGTTTTCTGCTGTGGTGATAATCTTATCGTTCATGCCACATGATGGCAGCAGAGTGCTGTCACACCCAGTGACTTATGCTGCTTCACTGAGGACGTTTGTGCTTTGAATTTCACAATATTTCATTACATCTTCATGTGCAGATTTCACCAGTAATTTAAGTGATGTGGGGGAGTTCAATTTGTCAATAACATTGGTAGCCATAACATAACATAACATAACATGGTAGCCAGACCTGTAAATGTTTACAATGGTTAAAGAGGAGTTTGTAGGATTTGTTGCTTGTTTTAATAAAGAAAACAGTCTTTTTCTTGGCTACTTCTTGATGAATTAGTTTTAAAACCCTATGGAAAAAGTCAGTTTACCTTGCTCCTATTTCGATAAGTTATTTCCTACTGCATAGCATCTCTTTAAAAAGTTAAATATCAGTATAGCTGTAGAGAATGTTACTGAGCCTGCCTGGACATAATAGCATCACTTGCTGCAAATAAGACGGTGACAAAAAAAATCAGAAGATCCAACAGGGCTATATCAGTGTCTGGCTCTTCCACTATTGCCTGGCAATGATTGATTTTATATGTGCTGTAGCACCCCCCCCCCCCACCCCAAATGGCAGATATCTGTTTAGTTGAATAATGAATGTCTTGTACAAAATGTTTCATCTTCAATTCTATTCCTCAGACTGTCTTTAGTCTATGTATAGATGTGTTTACATTGTGTGATGCTTCCTCTACCAACCCAGTCTGTGTAGTTTGATAAAATGAGGCTGTCTCTCCTTTCTTCCTCCCCATAGTGGTGTGTTGGTGCCAGGAGGTTTTGGTGTGCGGGGGACAGAAGGCAAGATGCTGGCTATTAACTGGGCAAGGAAAAAGAACCTGCCATTCCTGGGTAAAATAAATTTGAAAACGCATGTTCTTGTAGTTTCTGCCTTTTCCTTAATTATATAATTTTGTAAAATTTTATGATAAAAGCTGAAGACTGGACATAAAACCTGTAGTTACCTTCTATGTGTTGTTTGATGCTTAAGATGTGGTAATTTTTGGTAAGTAGCTTTATACAAGTATTACTGTGCCAGTGTTTGTAAATAAAAACTAACTATATTGCTGCACTGCCTCTAAAAAGTACTCGCTGCGTTGGACTTGGTCATGTTTTATGAGGCTGAATGACCATGGAGTCACAGTACAAAGTTTCTGACAACGGAAGTTTAAACAAACCTCATAAATTAGTGTTAAATACAAATCTACAAACAAGCAAAATATAAATGATTGCATAAATATTCAACCACTTACCTCTGACACACTTAAAACATCAGTGGTTCAGATCAAAGTATTTAGAAACTGCTAATGTGTACCAAACATATGGCAGCGTCATCTGTGACACAAAATAAATTTTGGATAAAATCTAAAAGATTCTTTAAAGGAAAACCAGCCACAGTCCACCAGAGGACGGTGACATGGGATAAATCTGTGTTCTAGCAAGACAGTGCTAAAATATAAAGCCAAAGCTACACAAAATGAAAATGATGCTAATGCATTTCATAGAGACTCACTGGATCCATAGACTCAAAACTAAAATTGCTGCCACAGGTAGTAGACCTGAAGAGAATAGGTACTTTGATCTGTAATCACTTGCTTTGTTTTAGATTTATATGTAACTTAGATCCATGTATAATTTTTGTCACTTTTGACATGAAAACATTTTCTTTGTTGTTCAAAAATAAAAAATATTTTTTACCCTTAATCAAAATAGCAACTTTTAAGTTTTGAATGACATGGAAAAGAAGAGAGTTGACTACTTACAACAGGCGCAATATAGTCATAATGCAAATACTGTAGTATTAGCCGTGGAAGTGTTTTGCACAGAGCAGAGGTCATGTTTGGTCATTATGAGTTCTATCATTATACAAGAATGCTGCTGATCTTGTTTTGTGTAGGAGTTTGTTTGGGCATGCAGCTGGCAGTGTGCGAGTTTGCCTGCAATGTTCTCGGATGGGAAGGTGAGCAATTGCACCATTCAGCAGGGGGTACTTCAAAGTAACACTTAATTCCTATGGGCTCTGATTTAGTGATAAAAGAACTTTAGACCTATCAGGAAGGAGATTTGAGCTTAGATCAGTTTCACTTATCTTTTTCAGATGCCAACTCCACAGAATTTAATCCAGACACCAAACACCCTGTGGTGAGTTTGTTTTTTTGCCTTCATCATATCAACAGAGGCTTCACAGAAAGGTTTTAACAGCCTGTTTGATCTTGACAGGTGATTGACATGCCAGAACACAACCCAGGGCAGATGGGTGGGACTATGAGATTGGGAAAGAGGCGGACAATTTTTAAATCTAGCACCAGCGTACTGAGTATGTGTCCTGAAATAAATGGACAGTGGGGTTTTTAGTCTTTCCAGATGTTGTTTGTGATGGCTGATATTTCATTGTTGCAGGAAAACTCTATGGAAATGTGGACTATGTTGAGGAGAGGCACAGACACAGATTTGAGGTAGGGACCAGAGCAAAACCTCAAAAATATGTTATTGCTACAAGCCTTATTTTTACAGGATCACAAACACACTCTCTGGAGTACAGCATCTTAATCTGCTGGTACACGTTGAGGGGCTATTTTGTTTAAGCCAAGATGTAGTTTTACATTGGGCCATTTTGTAATGTGTTATTCTTTAAAAACCTGTTGTTAATCATTGAATCCCATCTCGTTTATAGGTGAATCCTGAGCTGAAGCACCACTTTGAACAAAAGGGTCTTCAGTTTGTTGGCCAGGATGTCGAAGGAACGAGAATGGAGATGATTGAATTGCAGGGTGAGTGAAACATGTTACTGAAAAGAGACATTCACTCTGCTGCTTATAAAATACACCATGCTGTTTCTAAACCTACTTTACCTCAGATTGTCTTTTTTTTTTTTTTTTTTTGTCATGATTAAATATTTTCCAATGTTTTATTCACATGCTTACTGTGGTATATTCGTCCTGACTTGTAGTAAGTAGTAAAAATTTGTACTAAGCCAACAGTTGTCTTTGTTTCAGACCATTGTTACTTTGTCGGAGTGCAGTACCATCCAGAGTTTACCTCCAGACCCATCAAACCTTCTCCTCCCTATTTGGGTCTCCTACTGGCTGCTGCAGGAAAACTCCAGACCTACCTGGCCAAGGGCTGTCGCCTTTCTCCGCGGTAGGAGAAACTGTTATTTGTTGGAAGTTCAGGTGAAACCGCTGAATTGTGACGCTTCACCCGTTTAGCATGAACTATTATGAGTTCCCAGATATTAACTTGTTTCTTTCTGAATTGCACATTTCTATATCTTTCTTTTTCTTTTTGTTTTCTTTTTCTTCTTACTTTTGTAACAATGTCTATAGAGTTGCAAAATGCTGTTGGCATTTTTTATGCATTATCAAATTAATTTAGTCAAATTTGCTTGATTTGTGAATATGAATAGCATTTTACTGAAATGTTTTATTCAGTATCTACTTTTACTTTTTTTAATTATGCAGTTTTGTTTCAGAAGAATTATGGCTATTACAGTTTACAGCAACACTGGAATGTGACCATTCATTGTACCTACAGTTTGATTAAAGCAATGTGTCTGTGCTACTGCTGTAATGCTCTTTGTGTGTGTTTGTGTTTCATTATAGGGACACTTACAGTGACTGCAGTGGCAGCAGCTCTCCTGAGACGGACATCACGGAACTGAAGTTTCCTCCTTCGTAGGTGTAGTTGTTTGTGTCACTCATGCAAATAAATGCAAGACCTAGAAAAAAATCTGATTTGCCCTCAAAAGCACTGCAAAACCAAAGTTTGTGTTAAACTGTCTTTACACTCTCAGTATCTTCTGTTTTACTGTTTTGTTTTGTTTTTTTAAATTAAAATATTCTGTGATTGTATAAATTTAAAGAGATATTTTACAGTTAACTCTGGTTCTTTACAGGTTTTGCAATAAGCAAATACCAGAAAAGAAATTTATGGCAAGTTTGTAAGAAGAGGACATAGTGCAACATATAGTGAGTGTGAGATCAATTAGGAAACATCACTCCTGTCGGTGTGCTTGAGCAAAAATGATGAGGATGTTGCCTTTTCTAGGTATAGGGCTAAGAATAGATACTTGTAACTAGCTGAGAGAATAAACGGGTCATTTTGCAGGAAGTATAGCAACAGTAACAAAGTGCTGAGGTAGGACTCGTTGTCTGTGCCGCCCTTGTTGGGACAACCATCCTGAAACCCAGTTCACTGTATGAAAATAGATAAACATGATATGTACAGTTGTTTGACTTTTATCACAGTTTGCCATTGATAAGTTTACCTCTTTGAACTGCTTTTTATTTTATGTCTTAGAATATGTTTTGTATTAATGTCTTCTTTTTAGGTTTAATACCACTTCACATATCCTAACACTCATTCAGGGTTTCTACACAAACGTGTGTAAAACACATGGTTTCAAATAAGCTTTCAGTGTTATATGGCATGTACATGCAAATCCATGCAAGTATGAGATTAAAGTTGTGCAGTATATGAGTTTTTCTGTCATAATAATGTGAATTGTTTAGGTATCATTCAATATCAAGAGGACAGTTGGTTTCAATTCGTGCATGGATCTTGTTTTATAGGTAAAGTTTTGTTCCTTAAATGTAGTTTCACAGCTTCGGTCGCATGATATTTGTTTGACCCCTAACTTCCTGAAAGAAAATACTGATGCACAGTCATCTGGTGCTTCAGCTTGCTTAAGTGACCCTTAGTCACCAGAAGTAACTGAAAACAAAATCTTCTTGGCATATGAAATCTGAGCTCCTCAACCTGAAACGGAGACCTAAATTTGCTCTCAAAACACGAGTAGCAGCCAACAGTAGATAAGCATCAAGCTGCCAAGTTCCATTTTTGCTGGAAGTCTTGTCAGATTGAGTAAATTCATAACTCGGCAAGGATAGTTAAATTATTCCTGACAGTGCTTCTGTTTATTTTTATATTTATGAAGTGCATTTATATTGCAATATGTACATTTAATCTGAATAAATATGTTTTATTTGTCAAGACAATCTGGCCGTTATTCTAGTTGAGCTGTGCCTCAGAATGCCAAATTCTGTTTTTTTTTTTATGAGTGACGCAGACAGGAAAACTTAAATTATGCTGAAATAGCCCTGCAACTTTCACACACAAAATAAACCCCTTTGTGTTCAGTAATGGTACTTTTTTCTTCATCTTTTCTCTGACAATAAGAGCAAGTAAGACCATAGTTACTTGGTTTATATGTTTATAGTTTACACAAGGCTTAAGATTAAAGCTCCTCCAGCACCCCCTATGGACTGCTACAGTTATTACATCCCACAATGCTGCATTCTTATCAGTCAGGTGATTCCATGCCAATTATACTTTATATAATTTAAGCAGCATTAGAAAACATTTAGTGCAATTCACTTGTCTTTTGATAGCCTTTATATTAAAAGGCCCATCAATTTGGGAGGAACAGCACGGCTAAATTGTGTTGAATTTGTATAATTTATTGTTCTTTCATTTTAAAGGGTCTCTTGGTCTTTATAGTGCAACCACAGATTGTTCCTGGAATACATGGCACCCATGTTTGATTAATTAGTTTACATGATGCCATTACTAAATATAAGTAGACCCTGCTAGAATATGTAATATAAATATACCATTATACATTGTAGAAAAATGTACTGTATGTCCTGTGCCTTTCCTAGTGTTTCCCAGTGGATGCAAAGCTACATTGCTGTCAACTTCCCTTTTTGTGTAGCAATGTTCACTCTACAGACAAGTGATAGGCTATTTAAAAACTGTTGCTACCTGCATGGGCAAACAGTTGCTAACACTCACCGTCAGTTTTTATGGTTGTAAATGATGTAGTTATGACTGAGTGTCAACAGGAAACCGAAAACCTTTTCCTGATATGGTATGAAATACAACTACTACTTCCTTAATGCCACCCTCACAACACGCACACACACACACACACATCTAGTCCTCCCTTTCCACAGTAGCCCTCCCTCCCCATGTTGTGCTCTTGCCCCTCCTTTTGTCAAGTATGAACAGGCAAACTTCAGAAATCCACACCCCAGCACAGCACACTTGTGTACATGCACACTCGTGTATTGCAGCACTGCTGGGATCTACTTTGTAGGACTGGTTTTTTTTTTTCCTACATACCTGCTTCTGTAGAATGTTTGTGAGGGTCCACTATGGGAATGAAACGGAGAAACCTGGGCGGCCGATATCAAATGAACAGGAGTGTTGGATGACTGTGGACGCAGGTTTCTGATAGTGAGATTAGTGAGGAGTGGCTGCTGTGTTTGTTTCATAACATTTGAAGTGTTAAGATAGGGAACCAACTGGTGGGGAGCTGATGTGGGATTGCTAGTCTCGTGGAGGTTTCATCTCTTTCTCTACCCTTCATGGTACCATCTACACTGTTCACTATTTCCTCTAACCTTTTGTGACCTTTCTTAAAACTTTTAAAAATTCTTGCACTGTGTATCTTAATTTTTTGTATTTCCTAGCACTTCTGTACAGCTTTATATTTCTAGATGCTGTCTTCACTCTCTTCATCCCTTCTCTCCCACCAGCAGCAACAATGGACCTGACTTTGTGGCAGTACCAGTTCAGGATCATCATGCTGGGGGACTCCGGGGTGGGCAAGTCCTCCCTGCTGAAGCGCTACACTGAAAACTTGTTCTTGGAGTCCATCAATCAGACTGTGGGTGTAGACTTCTATGTTCATTTCCTGGAGGTGGAGCCGGGGGTCCACGTCAAGCTCCAGTTCTGGGACACAGCTGGACAGGAAAGGTTCAGGTGAGGATGAACTCATCTTGGAACAAATAGTGATAAGGTGTCGGTCATAGCTTAGCACTTTATATCACTTTTCTAAGAGCAGACTTCTGACTTATAGATGCTTTAACATGTCAAAACTGCATACGACTTATTTTTGTGCCAAACGTAGTAGTACAGTTCTGTGCCTCTTTGAATAAGACTGTAAAATGGGCCATAAAAGCAAACAAACAAACTTCCAAACTACTATTCAAATAAACTACCACTGCTTATTCCATTCATACCAGAGCTGCTCATCTGTGTTTACTTTCGGTTATGACTGTATCCACCCTGTCTCACTCACAAGATCAGTATGCAGTGTTTACAGAGATGCACTAAGTGTAATGGCTAAAAGGCATATTTTAAATAGGTATTCTCAATGATCAGCATATTAAAAAAAAACTAACATGTTTCATTCTGTCTCTAAATTCATTATCTCAGTTTTCCAGTTGAATGAACTGTAACAAATTGCAGCCTGTGCCTGTTTGTGTTTACCTCCCCTCTGCATGGTTATCTGTAGCCTGCTAATCCCACACGAGTCAGCTAAAAGCTCAGGCAAATCAGGTTAGCTTTCTTAAATAAGTATTCTAATTATGAAGCAAGTTTTCAGCAGCTGGGAGGATCCTTCACTAAGCCTGTTCTTCATGCCTTTTGACATTCATGATTCCTGTGAGAAAAACTGGCTATCGCTTCCTTAAAGAGGGACAGACACTTTGTCAACCTGCTTATCTTAAAGAACTCAAACAGTGCAGAGAGCTGATTATTTGCTCACTGGAACAAGTTTACCACAAGTTGGTGGTAAAGTCTGAACTCTGCACTGTCCAATATGAGTGTTTTTGATGTGTGGAAATTGAAACATCCTCCCTTCCTTTTCCCTTAGTTTTTTCCTTTGTCTCTTTCTCCCTAAGGTCAGTGACCCGTTCTTACTACCGCAACTCCGTTGGAGTCCTGCTGATGTTTGACTTGACCAACCGAGCCTCCTTTGACAATATTAAGGAGTGGCATGCTGAGGTGTGTGAGCGAGTACAACCGTATAAGGTTCTGTTCATCCTCGTGGGCCAAAAGAGTGACCGAGAAGCTCACGGGGAAAGGGTGGTGAGTCGAGAAGAGGTCAACAAGCTGGCCGGACAACTAGGGGTGCCCTATGTGGAGGCCTCCGCCAAGACGGGCCAGAACGTGAGAGGGCCTTTTGAGCTCCTCGCACGACAGATTTACCAGGCTCTTTTGAGTGGAGAGATAGAGCTGCAAGAGGGCTGGGATGGAATCAAGTGCATTGCCCCACAGACGCTGCGGTTACAAAGAGCCAATGTGGCTCAGCCCAGCACAGCTCCCCAGAGCAAGAAGAAGTGCTGTGGTTAAGATGTGACTGGGGAATGGGAGAGCCAAGACTTGGCCCCCTGAGAGCTGAATATGTGGTGACGTGTTACTACACTGTGTGACCATCGTGAAACATAACAGATTTGAAATGCAGATTTTGCACTGTTTATTATGAAGACACTGTCACCCATTTAGCAACAGATGTGATTGATTTATTGATGTTCTTTTAAATGTAATCATGAGGCTTTCCTTAGTTAGTCAGTGGTGGCTAAAGATGAGACTTTGTCACCACCAAATTCAGTCTACATCTTCTCTACTATTAGCTTTGGGATCTGAGGTTACCAACCTTGAAGTCTGTACCACTTGAGGGGTAACATTTGTTTTTCTCTCTAATAAAGAGATAAATGTGTGGTCAAACTGCTGCTGCTCACAGTTCATGTCCACACATAGTTTGTAAAAAGGGGATTTTGAGGGGTTTGAAGCCACTGCACTACAAGGACATTCTGCTTTTCCCTGATAACACATTTTTTTATTTAAATATAATTCTTGTTTGTGTTGCTGGTTTTGAGTTCCCTGGTTGAGATTAGAGACATCACCACAGACCTTCAAATGAATTAATCTTTTGGGCCTGAGTGGTTGTCTGGAAGAGGCTTTGTTGCATCACAATTAATTGCACAGCGTCCTGCAAGTGACTGATTGTTTTCAGGTGCTGTTGTTAAAATTAATTAAATGGAAACTCTAGGGTGCCTTTGGATATTGTTCTTTTGAAATGTTGAGGTTTCTATAGCAATTACTGTTCATCTGGCTGATGAACAGTCTCCTCTGTTTCGCCAACCATAATGTACAGTTTTCCTACAAGACACCCAGGGTAAGGATTCACTGACATGTTATTACCTGTTGTGTACATTGGTGTCCATGGCGGCCTGCAGATACAACTTAAAATAACCACATTTCATGATTTCAAATGTTTTGCCTCCACTTGATCCTTCAAAACACTGTAGTAATTTAGTAGAAAACAAGTGGTCTCTAACAGGAATCATTTTAAAATGAACAGCAATAAGTAAATAAAAATCTACATAAATATAGCTCTTGGTGATTTTAGAGCTCTTGGCAAACATCAGTCTAACAAATGAAGCCATACTCCAGAACCACTCATGTTTTCGGTTTGAATTCAATATCAGGACAATTTCTATTTTGATGCACTTTTTATGTAAAGAAAAAAAATGCACAACAAGGATTGAAATAAATGTGTTAATGTAATAAAATACTACATACAGTAATGAGACAACAGCACATACAACAAAAGAAAAGTGACTATTTTTGGCCACCATTTGCAGTGTTATAAACCCTCTATTTACTTTTAAAAAATACAAGTTGGGTGCATGAACAGGAGCTATAATCTCTTACAGACATGACAGTTAAGATAACACTAGAATTTTCAACCAGACAGATTTACAAAATGCTCACATCCTAAATGTTCTAGAATATCAAAACACATACTGGATACAGCAGTGGTCACAATCCAAAAAGATGTATTCCACAATGTTTATTGACAGAAATGCAATGAATAGAGTTTTGCCAGGTTAAGCTTAAATGCAACAAAACAGAATAAGAGACAATTTGCTGTGTGATGTTGCTGGCAAAGCACCCCCGAAAAAAAAAAATCCCAGATGAAAAGTAAAATGAAACCAAAAAGAAAAGCAAGGAAGTACACAGAGTGGGTACAACACATTAGTTATTTTTTTGTTGTCTTGCGGATCAATGCCATTCTCTGAAATGAAAGAAAAAAAAGGCAAACAATTAGACCCTATAGTATGCTGATTTTAGTAACAAATCACACCAGTAATATTCATAAATGTAATATTAGAAATCAACAGCTGTCAACTTTTGCTGGCACTCTAACCAGAACATTCTATCATATCCAATAAAAATGAAGTCTTCTATGGTTCACCTGTTTGTGAGCCTCTGTGGTGCAGGCCTTCTTGAATGGCCGGATCTCATCTGAGCCATAACCAGGAATCCACATGTTCCACTGGCGCTCTGAGAAAACCAATGCACAATGTCAGCAGGACCCAGGCTATATGAACTTCTCAGGCCTTTATAGAAGGAAACTTGCAAGCAGGGTTATCATTACCTTGTGAATACCTCAGCCTATCAGCAAGATGTCACATTCCCACAATTTAATTTCAATCTCATTTCCAAAAATGGTTCCATTTTATTAGGGATATAAAGAAAATAATTTCAATTTACACTACCACCTTGACTATCCACATTCCGTGACAGTTATTGCCAATAATTACAGGCTAACCATCTTATTGCAATAACCTGAGACATATTTTGTATGACCCGATGAGAGACTAAATCCACCCTTATCCCTACCAGTCACTTACCAAGATGTAACTGAACATCCTTCACCTCCAAGGTGTTGGACTTGCGATGGCGTGCCAGCTGACAGGCCGCTGTCACTACACTCTCTATAAAGTCATCTGCAATTTGTAGCAGCATCTGAGAAGACACCAGAATTTTGAAAACCATCAATCATGTTTAGTAAAGGAAAGAAAAATTGCTCACATCATTTATAATGCAGCCAGACTAAAGTTTCCAAATGATGGATGTGGCAGTAGGTTAGGGAAGCTTTAGAGTAAGAAGAGCATGCAAGATGTGAGTGGTATCAATTTCACTGGTTTAAAAAAAAAAAAAAAAAAATCTGCCTAGCGTTATGTTTACCCTATGTTTATAAAATACTGTTGTTTTAATTGCACTTTCAAATTAACATACAGACCTCTTCGACATCCTCATCCAGCTGCTCATTTGGGTCAATCTCTCTCACCAAGTCCTGCAGTTTCTTCTTGCTGAGCACCTGGAAACAAAGCATATGTATTCATTCCCTTAGTTATAAAAGCTCACAGGTGTGCAGATGTTGAGCTCTCTACAGTATTCAAATGATGGCATAAACTAGTACAGAACAGACCTTTTCTTCTTTTACATTTAGAGTAAAGGCCCAGAAAAGGAGTTAACACTGATATTTATAAAAGATGCCAAACAGTTTCAAACAGACCAGTCACAACATACAATATAATCTGTCATTTGAGGGTGGAAGACAAAATATGTACTGGGCCTATGCAATTATTCTGCATTGTAGGTAGCGCTAATGTTAAAGAGGATTAATTCTTATTATAAATTAATAAGTGGCAAATGTCCAGGAATTTTGGAATAATAACTGGTAGAAAATTGCATGACATATATGTAACTGTACTAGGAAAGTTACTCTCTTTTTTTCTGTGTTTTCCAGACAGCAAGTGAATGGGACTCTGTCCAGACGCTGGTGTAGTAACCCAGCCCAGCAGCAATGTCTTTGGATTCGGTGAATAACAGTGGACCCACCTGAGATCCTTCTGGACTACTTCTGCCAGCAGGGCCAGGGCCCCCCAAAACCTTAAAAGTTTGTGCGGTGCTGTTAGCCATCCTGATGGCCACAAGAAAGGCGGGGAGACTAGGGTTCACAGAAGGTAGAATTACTGTGTCCTGTCTGTGGTGTATCTGTCAGTGTGCGGGGTGAGAGACCAAGAAGGACACAGGTGTGATGGATTATCTTTTCACAGGGGCCACGTCTGTAAATCTGGGGTAAAAAGACAGAAATCATATAATTAACACTATAAAATAAAAGTTACACTTGTACTTATAAGTTAGAATTGTGGGAGGAAAGTTTAATAGCCTTGCTTATTCTTGATTCAAAACTATTATCAGTAATAGCAATATTACATTATTGTATTAACTACAGTATTACTTACATGACTTTAGTTTAATAATTACAGTGCTTGTGGTTTAATCTTTCCCTTGTCAAGTACTTTTTAAACTTGGATCTGGAAGATTCTGTTCATATGTTTAATTATCCTTCTTTTACAATATCAAATTGTATGTTACCTGAACTACTAGTACAGTTATTATACAATTTGATATTGAACTCCAACACATGTAGCAGTTTAGCTATAGAACAACGCTAACGGCATCTAATCAAAAGAACAACCTAGTTGGTAAAATAATACGATCGTTCAATAAAACCACCACATTGGTAACCTGTCAGTGGCTGTGTCGTTCTAACAAATAAAATAAACAAGTAATATCGCTGCTAACATGTTATGTGCTAAAAACAATAGCAGCTATCAAGCTCAGACATTAGCCGGGCGTTCTAACACTAGCAGCTAACCTAGCAGTGCAGCTTTATACTCGCTGCATCGGGAATTTGCACGTTAAATTGCCAACTTACCCAGTTAAACAAACACTATCTATCCATGTTTCGACAACAGTGTACGCGATTGATACAGAAACACCGCTTCTAACTGCTTCTGCTCAGATGGAAACCTCGACAGAGAAATTTCCCCCCCTTACTTCCGCTTTGTTTATAACTATTTCCTGCATGGATGTGGAAAGAGAACATGACGCCTATAGGCTGCGCTGCCACCTGCTGGACAGTGTGCAGAACTAGTCACAGTGGATACAGTGTAGTGACCGCAACTGCCGCAATTCTGCTTCCAAGATAAAAAGTACAGCTGATTTATGAGTTATAATTTTCTGTTAATCGACTAATTCAGTACACAATTACACCAGAGGACTAGCATATGCTAATAATAGAATAAGCATGCAAATATAATACTAAAGATAGAAAATATGTCTTAGTTTACATGATTATAAAATGTATGCAGGAAACCCAGGCAATTTAATGCTTCCAAATCACCTTCAGAGAGCTGCACACAAATGCAAGTTAATGTGGTTTAATCAGTCTTAATCTTAAGTCATACGAAGCAGCCTGCTATCTAGATCAGTGAAAACTCTTATTTAATAAGAAGATAACAAAGCACAGACTAAGTGGGAGAGACACTCTGCCTTAGCAAAAGGTCTCCCAAGAATGAATTGGTTCTTTAGTTTGCAGCCAATGGTTACAGTGTTTTTAGCAGAAAAAGTCAGTGTAGCTTATTTTGATTATTTGACAGGTATTGTTAAATTTAAGATTTTAGAGGTATATGCAGAGGCGCAAGCAGAGATGAAAAGTATTTACTCAAGTACTGTACATAAGTACAAGTTGTAGGTATCTACTTTTCTGCTTTTCATACTTTGACTTCACTACATTTCAGAGAAAACTACATTTATTTGATAACTACTAGTTACTTTTCAGAAAGAGGTTAATAAAACAAAATACAGTATATTCATAATATTTATTGATACTCTGTAAAATTCACAAACTACCCAGCAGTAAATCAAATTATAATCATATAAGGTAGTTCAAATTAGCTCTATCTTTACCAGTAAATGTGATGTACGCAATAATACATCAATAACACCAACGTAGACTTTGCCATTTTGCATAATGAGTACTTTTACTTTTAGCACATTAAGTATATTTTCAGCTAATACTTTGGTACTTTTACTTAAGTATCATTTTGAATGCAAGACCTTTACTTGTAACAGAGCATTTTTACACTGTGGTATTGCTACTTTTACAAAAAAAGCTAAACATGTAGGCTATACGTATATTTTAGTCTCTCATCAGTCAGTCAGTCTAAAGTCGGAGCACATCAATCTGTCTCTGAGACTCCCTGTCTCCTGTCTCAGGTTAACAGCTAACCAGTGAAGAGTCGCAACAAGGGAAGCGTACAATGTTTGCTTGTTCAGGGTTACATATCACGCCGGAAAACCCCAAACCTCTGTGGAAACACGTCAGGTCAGTTTAACTTCTGAAAAACAATAACAAGCTCACGGCGAAAACATGATAGGCCTGACTTCCCTTGGAGACAAATGACGCATTCGGAGCGCACTTAATTGTCGGAGGAGCGGCGGTTTCTTCGTTTAAAGTTTTTATGAACATCGCCAGAGGTTATAAGACTGTAGACGTAAGGCTTATTTTTGGTTGTATAATAATTTGAATTCATACATGTTTATGTGTGCTTCCAGAAATAAAGACAATTTTGTACGCACTTCCTGAAAAAAACCCAATAATGAAAGCCACGCCCACACCGTGCTACAGATAAATAGTGAGCAAACTTTCTCTTCAGGTTAGAAACAACGAAGGACTGCGTACCGTCTTTTCTGATAAGCCACTGAAGGGGATTTTCGCAGCCATGAAAGTGCTTCTGGTGGTTGCACTAGTTGTTCTTACTCATGGCACTTCTGGTAAATATGATTTTTTTTCTCATAGGCCTATTTACTGTTATACAACCGACTATAATAACTTTAAACAGTTGTACTGTCTGTACAGAATCTGTTCTGGTGTTTGTCTCGAATATACTGTATTCATACTGCTGCTGTTCCTGGAATTGTGTAGTGTGTGTGCGTGTGCGTGTGCCAGTCAGCTTTCCTGTTTGCTTGCCTGTCTGTCTCTGAGTTTGCATGTCCTCCAGAGGAAAGGCTTTATTTTCTCCTCTGTCACACTGATGGGTTTCCCCTGGAGGTTACACAGCTCAGACTGAAGCAGAAAATGTTGGTGGAATTATCAAGAGACTGTCAAGAAGAACAGTTAAATATTTTATGTATACAGTGCAAGCCAAGGTCAACCTCATATTCAGTTGTTAACTGTTATATATTGTAAACTGTGTGTATTGTCTAGTAATTCATGTCTGAAATGGGAAAAATAATCACCTTTGTTGTCAGCCATGTTAGTAAAACAGAATAATCTGTTGCTGGTCATGTGACCACAGAAACAAATATCAGGGAAATGGAGAGGCTGTTTTGAACGTGCTGCCCAGAACAGCAGCTAGATCCCCAGCACAGATCAGCTGGCCTTCACTCCTGGACCCTCTGTCTATTCATGTTGTGATCAGTAACCCTCATCTTTAATCTCTGTCCACATGCAGCCACTTTGCTCATTAAAGGGCCAACTGAGCCGGTCCTGGAAGGTCAGCCCATACAACTGGAGTGTCTGTACTCAGACTCGGAATTGAACATCAGTCAGGTCCACTTTGAGGTCTTTTCCAAGGTGAGTCGCAGGAACAAATGGTTGGGTGGGTGTGAGAGAAAACAGTGGTGCATTTCAAAAGCTCAGGACCCTCCTTTCACCAAAAGCTTTGCTTATAACACTGTAGTGGTGGTAAGAAAGGCCAGAGTCCTCAGATATTTTATTGTTATTGTTTGAGTCTATGTAAAGTTGTTAAATATTCGGTTATTCAAGCATAAAATATTCAGTGAACATTATCATGTCATAAAATTCACAGGCTAAACTAATGCGCTCTATTTAAATATCACAGCAAACAGCATACTGCTGTGTGGCTTATGTGCATTTGCCTCTACTTTCTTAATTATCTTTTTATTTCACTATAACCTCAGTTTCTTGTGATTATGGTTGAACAACTTAAAAATCTCTAAACTTAAGGCAAAGCAGAAGCTTCTTGCTCAATCTCACCCACTGCCAAGGTGCATATCAGAAAAAACAAGCTGAAAAGGTCAACACTTGCAGTGTATAGAACAACTTTATTGCAAGATCAACATATTCTAAACTTAGTAAGCTCACAGAACTATTGTACTATTTCTGTAGTTTGCAGTAATGCACATTCCTCTACCCTTAAAAGTAAATCACAAAGTTAATTCCTCTGTCTGTTTTTGTTTCCACTTTTTCTTTCATTCTCTTTACCAGTACATGGAGAGCTGGCATCCAGTTTATGAGAGATGGTGCTTCTCTTGGCGTATGTCTCCATTTATTGAGCAGACGACAAACAGTCTAGTACTGTATATCCACTATGCAGGGAGGTTCTCTGAGGGGCCCTACCGATGTGTGTCTGACTCTGAAAATGTGACTGCGCCAGACAATGTCTCCCAACCGCTGACCTTCAAAGTATTCTGTGAGTGTCTGGGTTATTGTGGGTACGAGTGGTGTTGGAACTGTCTGCTGAAAGTCTGTAGAACTGCAACTCTTTGACACTTTCCATTTTCCAAATGAAGAAGCCTTACATTTTTCATGTGGTTCTACAGATGTCAAAGATATTTCTGGAGGAATCTGACAAAGAGCTATATAAATATGACTTGCAAATAGATACACACTGTATGATTTTCACTTTCCAGTTAGACAAGGAATTGCATAGCTGAGAATACTGACTTTATTAGGAAAGAAAGAGGCATAAAAACACCAAAACTTACATTGGTAAACAGTATAGGTGAGAAAGCTGAACAGAAAAACTAAAACCATGCCATTTTCTTCATATTTACAACCAGCAGGAGGTAAAGACAAATACTGTGGACACAGCTTTCTTCACGGTGGAGAGAAAAACACAATAATAGTTAACACAAGACGTACCCATGCAATGCAGCCACAGAGAATACACAACAAAGCAAAGACACATTCCCCTGCTGTATCTTCTGAGTGGCCATCAAATCGACCGTGCTGCTGTTTGATAGGCCCCCCAGCCTCATGGGGAGAATCAATAAGAAGCAAAGATTAGAATGGACTACAGGAGTGAAAGAGACAGAAAGGAAGAGAAGCAGGAGCTGGATGGACGTGGGCCATCTATTGAGATGGAAGAGAAAATGAGCCATTATTCACAACACTGCCTCTCTAAAGATGTTGATAAGATGAAGCCTATTATCATTATTATTGATTGCTTTGTTCAGTCTTTACCAGAGGGAAGCTTTCATACTTGAGCCAATGTACTCATAAGATCGGAGTGTTTACCAGCTGCTACCATTGCAAACATATGTTCCATCATATCAGAAACTCATGAAGAAGTAATGTCAGTATACATTCCATTTCTTGCCTCATTAAAGCCCGATCATGCCTACTCATTCCCACTCCGCTTTAGATTTGGGAGAGGTGTCAGTGTCCAGGGCAGGTTACACGAGATACCTAGATCTCTCACAGGAGCTGAGGGTGCATCCGGGGGATGATGTGGTGTTGAAGTGCTCTGCCAGCTCATCGGAGGAGCCAAACTACTTCTGGCAAAAAGAGGTGAAAAAGCCTCAGGAATATGCACAGTTGCAGTGTCCTCATTATGCTTCTGGAAACCTGCCGTTCTCTCTGCAGCTTCCTCCCTCCACTGTCGTTATGATGTCTTTATTTCTCCCTGCTCTCTCTAGGTTTCTTTAGGCTTTGTTTAAGCATTCACTTAATTTCCTCTCATGCTGTACCATGTCTCCGTTTCCCTCCCTGACTTTGTCAAGCCACTTGTTTCTTCCCACCTGTCATCTTTCCATCCCCTCCACAGAAGAATTGCTCTGTGTTTAAGTGACCGGTTGACTTAGGCCCACTCTTGCTGGGGATTTTGCAGCTTGCACTCTTACAGAGGGATTAATAGTTTAATGAGGTCTAGACAAGAGCCAGTCAGCCTGAAAACAATTATATGGATAGATTTCTAATGATTTTTTTGAAGTGTTTGGTTAACCGGTATTGAATTGTTCAGCTAGGCTTTTTGCTGAGCTAAGAAACCCTCACCAGAAAGGAAATGAAGACATCTCATTGTGAAATGCCAGTTTGGCAGCAGGTACACAGAACAAGAAAACTGTGTTCTTGTGGTGAGAAAATGGTTTTACTCATTCAAGGTGTCATTAAAATCATGACTACCACCAGCAGCAGCGGAGCACTGGTGAAATGTAGCCATGCAGTGATGAAGTTATATCATGGGGATGGGCAGACATAATTGCCATGCTTCCCCTTTTGTTGCTTTCGTGATAACTTGGCTTGAAGTTAATATGCTTGTTAAAGGGTCACTGCTAATCTGGGCTTTAAATGGACTTACAAGTCCAAATCCAATGCGGTGGACATTTTATACTGCTATAATACTGTTTGTCCTCCACATGATGATATGCAATCCTTTAGGTGATTGTTATTATTTGCTGACTATAAAGCATTGCCACTTTTATGATGAACAGTAATTATTGCCAGCATGCTTGACAGCTTCGTCACGGCGTGAAATCATTTAGCACACCAGCACTCTTGATCCACCTGTCGAGCTAGTCATTTTCTATTTACATAAGTCATTGGACCTTTGGAAAAGAGGGATGACAGATTCAAGGAAATGATAAGATGAACTGGAAGATTTGGTGGGAGTATTTGCAAATGTGTCTTTGTTTATTTGTGTGTAAGTCCACTGTACCTATGACAGGAATGAATGTGGGACAGAAAGTGCCATCAGAATGGCCCACTTTGACAGACAGTTGCCGGGGGCGCACTGGCACCTGGTAATGACAGCAGGACAGAGGCAGAAACAGGCCACTGCTTCGGGAGCCAGTGGATTTGCATACAAAATGCTGCTTTGGCCAGACCTGGCCTTTATGGGAAATCCTCTTAATTCAGATCCATTCAAATTGAAATGGACTTTCCTGGCAGGAGCTGCAGCTCCCAGGAGCCAAATCATTTGCATGTTGTAATGTCTTTTTTTACCCCCCTCCTCCATGTTTGTTTGTTTTCCAATCCCAGTGTTTGGGCTATTATTTGTTTCCTCCCATGTTAGGTTCTTTCTCCTAATACTGATGCTATTTTTGAGTCAACAATTCATCCTGATCCCTAGCCATCTCATTATGTGTGGTGTTAGCAGTGTGTTGTTGCAGCATCATTCTTTGCGGATGATGGTGTTATCTGGGTTATTGACTTGTGTTGATGTCTATTCATTCACTGGGATTACTGCTCAGGTAAATACACTTCATTTGGGACTGCTGTCATCGGGCCGCACAGAAATATCTGCTACATTTCTCTCTTTCTCTCTCTGACCCACTACCGTTGCCAGTCTCTCTGTTTCTATCTTGTTCCTGTTCACTCTCTGTCTTTGTCCCTCTTTTCACAAGTCAGCCAAAGTAGCACTTTCTATGTCCTTTATATCCTTTTCTTTTCCTCACTGCACTCTTCACATCTGACTGTTTTCTCCTTTTATCAGTTTGTATTGTCCAATTTTCTTCCTCCCTTTGCTCTCAGTTAAGCACAATTTTAATTTGTATGAATTTGTAGATTCTCTGTACTGCAGTTAATACAGCTAACAAAACATTTTTTGCCCTGTTTGTTTCACTTCATTATGCTCTTTCACTCTCCGGGTAACGACTGGATCCTGCCTTCATCTTGAGGAAGGTGACTGCGATGGATGAAGGACAGTACACTTGCACGGCTGAGCATCCGTCTGTGGATTCATTCAGCAAGAAACGCACCATCAGCATCACAGTGCTATCTGGTAAGAGAAAACTTTCTGTCCCTGGCCTTTTGTGCTTTGTATTGACTGAGACTAGAGTGATTGTTTTTCATTGCCTCTTTTTTAAAACAGGTTTGGACTTGCTTTGTAACTGTTGCGAAAGTCAGTTGATGACACTCTCTAAGCAAAGATGAAAAATGTTTTGTTCTAGTTCCTCTTCAGTCAGCCACTCAAATGGACCAGAAAGGTCAGGTGTTTGGGGGAAATTACTGTACCTCATCAGAAGCACATGCAGACCTTGTCATTTGTGTGAAACCTTTAATGACGTGAATTTCTAAGAAAGTTTAGGTGGAATCCTCCTGCCACAGAAATGATAAAAAGTAGGAAGGAGAGTCAGATGCTCTCACAATGAAAGCTGACATTTATGAAAACCACTCACATTAAAAAGGTGACAAAGAAGTCCCAAATGAAATGACCTCTAAAATGCCAGATAAAAACAAGATGATCATGATGGAGGACATAATACATTTAAAATAAAACAGACAGAGCTGCACTAACCTTAGAGGATAGGATGATAATTATAAGTTAATAAGGAGAGATCAAATGGATCAGAATAACTAAATTTATTGGATTGAGCAACACAAAGAATTAATTTTGGTGATTAGACTCTGTGTCTACATTAGGCGTAGGTCCTCATAAAGATAGGAGATAGGATGATCCCTAGAGTCTATGCGCTGTTTTGGAGCAGTTCAATTCAATTTATTTGTAGAGTGCCAAATCATAACAAAATAATCTCAAGGCATAGTAAAGCCTAGACCTTACACTGATAGAGAGAATCCCAACAAATCCCCCTTGAGCAAGCGCTTGGTGACAGTGGGGAGGGAAAGAAATTCCCTTTAACGGAACAAACCTTCGACAGACTCTGGCTCTCGGTGGGTGGCTGTACTGCCTTGACCAATTGGGGTGAGTGGAGAGAGGACAGAGATAAGAAAAGAAAAGCATCAGGACACACCAAACAAACACTGGGCAGGCTAGTGAAGTCGGTGACTACTCATCAGAAACGTAGAGCCAGGGATACCTGCAGAAAGGTACAGGGAGAGAGAGGGGACAAACTACGGGAGAAAGTTAATGACATGTAATGGTGACGTATACTGTAAATGCATGAGATTACGATGATGTTGGGGTGAAGGCAGGTTGCACAACCATTGGTCTATAGGATAAGCGAGATGAATCAAAATATTTAAAGAACGGCAGCTAGTGACTGACACAGGCAGAAGGATCATTAGTCAGATAAGGTGACGTCAGGATAGAAGGTGGAGGGACCTTTTGACAGCATGGGAAACCAGAGTAGGAACAGAAATTGATCCAAAATTAACAGCCCACGTCAATCCGCGGTGGACAAGCAGAATGTGAAGGAAGAGATCTTCCTTATTGACCTTTCTCATAAGCTTCACTTATGAAAGAAACAATTGTTCTACCTGATGTTGTTTTTCTCCTTTGAGAGAAATATTAAGTCAGACAAAGTCAAACACAAGTGCACTCTAGAGCACAAGAGAAGATAGAAACACTTGTGCCATTTTTTGCAAGGTGACTTGCTCCAAAGGATATTGAGATTTAGATGCACAAAGTATAGAGTTCTTTATATTATGATGAGTAAAGTGGGCAGATAATCTTTGATTAGAGGTGCAGTTGTCTATCTTTTGTAGATGCATGTCTATGGAGTCATAGTTTGTCTGAATCTGTATGAGCCTCTTTCTCATGAAACATGATGATTGTAAGTGATTTAAGCAAAAGGCTAATTTTATTACAACATTATAACTAATCCAATTTACAGCACTACATCTGTCTTCATTTTTATCTGTGACCTGAGAGATCCCTGCGCTGTGTTAATGCACTTCAGTTTTTAAACACCGTCCTCTCACTCAGCAAAATTCATAAGCCTTGTGATTTCAATCACTGAAATTAGGCCTCCTCTAAAAATACAATTAAGCCAAAGCATGTTATTTATTATGATCAAGTTATCTTATTACTGCTGCAATTGACTCATTGGTCACTATGTTGCACAGTGTTTCCAGTATCTTCTCTGAAGCACTTGTACTAATTAAAATGGTAATAATTTCTAGATGCTGGAATAATGTTTGCTCATCCCTGAAGGTGTGGTGAACAAACGTTGATCATCACTGCTGTCGCTTTGAAGTACTACTACAGTCGCAGTACAGACCTTCAGCAAACAGTCTTGTTGCAAACATGTATGACTTCAGCTGCCAAGAATTTCTCTAAACATTAGGAATTATTGTATAAATGAACACGCAAATCATATGTTTGTTGCTCCTTCAGATCACCTTAACCTTAATCTATCATATTTTATGTTTAAATACATTTAATAAAGCACATGAAGGAGAGAGTTAGCCACTTTTTAAAACTGTAACAGGCAGACCGCTTGAAGATCAGTGTTGTAGGTGGACTAGAACTGTCTGAACTCTAGATAGACGGTCCTTTTTTGCTCAAACAAACACAAAGTTGCCTTTAGAAGCTTTGCCTTGGGAGAGGAAGCTCATTGTTTTGATGATTTTGGATTCTATGTGATGCATATTTTTCCATGTCTCACTGATGTGTCCCACAGAGAATGCCGCCTGGTATGAGTCTACTAATGGCCACCTCATTCTGATGACCTTGGCGGCAGTTGTGGCTCTCTTGGTGTTCATCCTCTCCATGACTGTATTCCTATGCCGCAGGGCCAAGCAGGCCAAGACCCACAAAGGACCCATGTAAGAACCCACTGTCTGAGCACTTTGTTGTTTGCTTGTGATCTTCATCTTAAATCATGTTCAAAATCTGATAGATAACATGGCTCTGAGTGTGAGTGAATTTGTGTGCATGTATCCTGCGTGTTTGTTTCATTTCTTTTACAGTGCTTTATCCACACTCACTTTCCTAACTCGGCCCTGGTCTCTCCTCCTGTAGTTTCACTTTATATTACAGATATGGCTGTTGCTGCAATATGTCATTCTGTCGCATATGATAGAACCAAGGCCATTTCAGTTACAGTGTGTGTATTTTGTACACCCCTGTGCACAGTGGGGTATACTTCACACAGTGTGTGTGTGTGTATGTGTGTTATGTATGTCAAATCTTCTTGCAAGAAACCTTTCCATACATATGCAGACTAGAGCCTGTGTTGTCTGTGTTTTAAAAAGCATTATTCATGCTGAATATCACATTCTGGCTTAGCAGGTTAGATCTACTCAACCCCATTCTCAAGCTCTTTCATGCTCCCTCCTCCCCTGTGTTTTTCCACACACTTTCTGCACATGAAAAACCTGGGCTAATAGCACCAGGCTTAATTGCATAATAGTTTATGAAAAAAAGCCACAACAATGATACACATTAGTAAAAGTACCAATAAGCAAATATGCTGGCAGCATGTTAACGTGCAACATGACACCATGCGGCTTCGCTCATTAACTCCTTTTCCATATGGGCTGAAAAAATAGCATTTTCAAAATACTGTGGGTCTCATCCAAACGTTCTCATCTCATTTTCTATACCGCTTAGTCCCGAACGGGGTCACGGCATCCAAACGTTATTAAGAATAAATTTGTTCGTAAAACCTGCTTACAAAGTTTTCACAAAGATACTGGCATTCACCAGTATTTTCTGATCTGAGATTTGTTCTTAAGTAAGAACAGAATCTACGCACAACTCAGGAGCACGCTTTCGCACATTTGAGCGCTGACGTGTGAAATAATGGATTATTTAGTTTTCTTCAGTTCTACAGTTATAAGATCTCATAAGACCTAAGTTACAATAACAGTTTTGTTATTATTATTATTATTATTATTATTATTATTATTATTATTATTTATTTTTATTTTTTTTTTTTTTTTTTTTTCCCATTATTACTGGTCAGTGTCTCTCAAACCAAACAAACCATCTTTTAACTTAATCAGTTGTGCGCCCTTCACCTTATACAGTGTTCACTGAACAAGTAAGAGCATCCCAGTGTACCGTTGTAGCATTCCTGGCTTTCTCTTTCTGTTTCTGGTTGACATTCCTGTGTGCACACTGTGCTGCAGTCTCATGCCCTTTTCTGGGCATTGGTGGTGTGTTACCCTATGGCAGTTAGGAAGAACTGGCACATACTTTGAACTTAGAAACACGGAGTCATCAATATAAGAACACAAGTGTAAACAATTCTGCAGTTTAAGAACACGTTCATGAATCAGACAGACTTTTCTTAGGACCTTTCTTAAGAACAACCTATGAATACGTTTAAGAAAACACTTAGGAAGATGTTGGTGAATGTGGCCCAGTGTTCATAAGAGCTTGCTTCATACGTGACTTCAGTGTCTTCAGTGTTAATTTCTTAAAAACATGGCTGAGCTTGTGCTGCCATGAAAATGCAAGTATGTGTGCACAGAGACAAATCGACTTTTACCTCAACAGCCAGGTGTGGCTACATCTCTGAGTTCTAGTCTGTAATTTCCTCACTTATACTTTTCTAGTGCCTACTGGGAGGTCGATATACTGATAATCGTGCTCTACTGTCTTCCCGTCTCTCCCTTTTTCTCCCCAGTGATGACCGGTCCCAGAAAAAGCCTATCTACAAAACCAGTGTGGAGTCCGTGCCCTCCACCTGTGGAGACAACCAGCCTCTGGTGTGACTGCACAGGCAGGTGGATGGATGAGATGGGGGAGGGGGGGGCAAGCAAGGCGTAGTGGGTGGCCAGAAAATTTGGGATGGCATAAAAAGGATACTTAAATAGGAAGAATAGGGTACTGGGGGGAAATGGGGGAGGTGAGAGGGAGGCAATGAGGGATAACAGACTGTAGGGAGACTGTACTCTCCCTACTCGGAGACTGTAGGGAGAAAAAAAAAATCAAAATTGGAACAATCTGGGTGTGAAGTGAAAATGATTGCTTTAGAGGCGCAGAAGCTGCTTTGCTTGTGGCTGTAGAATGCCGTTATGCATCGTGGACAAAAAGGTGGGCAGTTTTCTTTCATTTATTGTGGTATTTGAAAAATGGGGAGCTTCATTCTTAGTAAAACAACAGGGGATGAGTCTTGTGTAGTGTAAGAGCTGTAAACACTCACATGCAGTTCTCTCCTTTCTGTTGCAAATTGCTTGGTTGTGTATTACAAATGAAACATTTAGGTGACCGGATGAGGTTTTATTTTGCTGATCTGCTTCCCTTTCAACATTTTTCACAAAGCAGAACCAGCTCAAAGCATCTGTGAAAATATTATAATCTCAAACACATTGCACTCTACTGTTTAATTTACTGTTTGGTTGTTCGGTTTCTCTGATATTAAATGGCTTTCAGAAAATAGTATTTTTATCCTCCTGTGATTTTGTTCCATGTTAGAGATACAAAAGAAGTTGGGAGTATTGACAATGTGGTAAAAGCCGGACACACGTACTCACTTCACCACACATCTTCTCGATCCAGTGCCATCGTAAGCTTGCATCAGCTTGTTTACCAACCTTCCCCCTCTATCTGTAAGACCTTACTCTGAAGCAATGACCTTTACTTGAAGCACTGTGCCTGTGCATGCTCGTGGTTTTGTTATAAGCCTGTAAGCACAAAAGACCATTTGCACTCAGTTCAGCTCACAAACACATGTATGAACTAAAGACTCACACTTACACAGAGTGAAAATAACTGTAAAATCAGGTAACCTTGAAACTGCCAATGCATTGTAAGAGCAAGCAGGCTCAGCCACTGCTAGTTCTATTTTAACAGAACAAGATTGTTTCTTCTGACTTCCCCCCAAAACAACCATCACAGAATACACCTTGATCTTTTTAATTTTCTCCTCCGTTGCCTTGTAACCCTTAACACTGTGCCATAGCAGCACCATCCCTTATTACCATAACCCTGCTCATAATGCTGAGAATTTCATTACGCTTGTCTGTTGAAGTTATGTTGGATTTTATGTGGTTTTATTATCAGTGTGTGGTTGACCGTAGGCCGTCGTTAATAATCGGCGAAGCGGCAGTTTAACAATGACACTCCATTAATGGGTGCATGCGCCACAGAGCACATCCAGGATAATGTTATTAAACTGATTATTCAATCCCCCTGTACAGCTCGCCTCTGCTGCAGCCATTCTTTGTCAAGCATTTTACAGACTCCTTGTATTTTTTCTCAACCCTACAAAGTTCTGCTTTCTTTATGTGTTAAATCAAGCACAAGCAAATACAAGACAGCAGACAGGGAGACTGTAACCAAAACTAAAAGACATGCTCTGTAGGACAAAATACAGTGTTATAAGTTTAAAATGTTCTCCTGCATGTGAAATGCCAGTGAGGTCCATTTTGTTTTGGCCTTTGAGCCAGTCATGAGTAAAAAGCTACATATTCCCTGGTGAGCTTTGGTCCTGTGGCTTCATCCGGTTGGCCAGAAAAGACAAGGTTTTGTATCAGAACATTTCACACAGTGGAGCTGTCCCTGAGGTACGAGGCTCTGGTCGGGAGGGAGAGAGGTGTAGTTTACAGTGACATTTTGACCTTGATGGTGCCTCATGGATAAACCACTGGACAACAGCTTGGGGCAATGCAGGAGCTGTACAGAGAATACAGAGCAGCATCTGATGCAGGCAGGATCCTAACAGGACAAGGATGCACATCTGTTCTATTAAATTCAGCAAGTCAGGTAGGCAAGCATTCTGGCTGCCCTCAGTACATTAACCTATATGTAAAGGGGAGTTATGTCACCTCAGTGACTAACACAACAAAGTGCCAGGCATTTGTAACTGTATGCCATCACCCACTGCTGTTCTCGTCACGGTCACTTGGTTTTGTATGTGCATCCTGCATATGTTGTATCAAATGGCTGAAAATGAAGGAGTGGAGCTCAGTGAAGAAGCAGGTGTTTTTCCCTCATTACTTTCTGACAATGCCCCATCTGGTGCAGGGGGAGCTGCTACCCATGTTCCCTGCCAACGGGAACAAATACACACACACAGAGACTCACATCAAAAAAAGCTATGGGATGGAAATTAAGGAATGAATGGGGCAGATATTATTGTCACCAAAACAACAAGATTGAAATTTATGTGGACAACGGAGAGAGCTGCAAGCTGAAACTAAGATTTCACACATTCACAAGTTGAAGTCAGTCAGGCAAGAGTTCAAAGTAACTTTATGAAAGTCAAGGGCAGACATATTAATATTAATGCTAATAGACTGCTTTGATGCTTTACTGCCTGACTGAACCTTTCTGACTGCTTGAACCAAACTGACCCACGTGTCTGGAGGATTGGTGACAGATGAGAGAGAGGGCAAAGCAAATTTGAGACTGATTTGAGACCAATGACGCGCTATCCCTGATGTTACCTGGAGAGGGCACCAGAGATACAGTTTCAAAAAGACCAGCTCTGGAGCCAAAAGACCATGGTATAACACCAGACTAGGGAGTTAGAGACAGAGCGAGAGAGAGAGAAACAGTTTTCATAGTGGAGCAGCCCTCTCTGACTGGAAAACACAATTATGGGCAAACTGTGTCTACAGCATGAGGGTAAAGTTAAACAGCCCCTTTAGCAGCACCTAATAAGCCCTGACTACAGATGAGCAGAAACACTGGTTTGTCCAGAGCACAAGTTTTTGTTCCGGGCCATTACCGTCACTGTAAACGGTGATTTAAACGAGCCCACTCAGGTCTGTTCATTGCTCTTGATGAGTCCTTGATGATACACATTTTAGAGCCAAGCAGCTTCTGCAACAAAATGTCCCTTAATCTCAATACACCTTGAGAATGCTGCACGTATGAGCTGATTTGTCAGTGGATTTACTCTAGTTTTATCACCAAGTAAGCAAACAAAAAAATCTTGCAGAATTTGTTTGTCATCGTGCCAGCCAAGGTGAGTGCACCTGATTACTGACATGCAGATGAGTCAGTACACATAATACACGTACCGATAGATCTGCATAATCGTTTCCCAATTGACTAGAGAATACAATATATGATTGCAACATCATTGTCTGTTCAACAATAAACATCTGTTTCAATTTCGTCAACTTAATCTTTGTGCCTCACATTTATGCTCCGTGGAACTGAATTTGAAACAAACTGGTTATTTGCTTCGGAAAATTAATGTTGGTTATCAATCACATTTAGAGGGAATTGATTTCAATTAATTGTAAGACGCAGCGCCCCTTCCCTCCCCTGCCTTCTCCCATATAGCCTATTTATTTTTAAAGCCCAGCCCCGCTTTCTCTTCCGCACACCCCTCCACCTGCTCCGGCTTTCTGCAATTGGTTAAAAAGACACATAGGCCCCGCCCCATTGAAAAGATTTTTAAAAAATATCTTTACATTGTAAAGTAACCAAGAAAAACCGGCCAAGCCATCACTAGAACACAAAGTGGGTTTGTAAGAGAGGGAACGTTATTATGTAAAATCCTGTTGGCATGCACTGAGCGCCTGCTAAAGCACACAGTGGTTCACGCGCAGTGGCACGCGCTCACGCTCACACACACACACGCCAATAATACACAGACGCTGAAGGCGGTGTGGGAGAGTGAACTTGTGGGTTCATGTCACTCTGATTTCTCCAAGGAAGAGGAATACCACTAGGAAAAGATCTGAGGGGAATATCAGCGACAGCCATGGCTTTCCGGACCGTGTGGAACTACTGCGTCCCTCTCACCATCATCACAGTCGCCTGCTTGGTGCGCTCCGGTAAGGCTCGAACGAGAGAGTGAACGAATGTGATGTGAATGGGAAGAGTGTTTCTCGATGCGTTGAGGCTTTTCTGTGCAAGTTTGCAAGTCCTCCGAGATGGAGCTGAATAACGCACAAAATGCGCCGAGTGTATTCTGGCTTGTGGAAGAAGGAGGAGCGCACCGCGGGGCAAAAACACGTGCAGATACTATAGTTTACAGTCATCTTACGGACCAGCAGTAGGCAATTATTATCAAAGCACATTGCGCAAGTCTGGGCTACATCCCTATTGTTACTTGGAAATGAGTCACTGCCTTGACCCCTTCTCGAAATAGATAAGCTGGAAATACCACAAACTCCTTACAATGAAAGCGAAAGTGAAGGGCGTCGGTTCGCTGTTACTTTTTTCCCACGTAGAAATACTTAATGAAATCACTCCATGCCCTATTGACCGTCGTGCGTCACAGGATTTTGATCATTCTCTCCGGACAGACTGAGACTGGGATATATTTTATAATCGGTGCTATGTGTTACTGGACAAGTCTGTGGTATGCGTCGCCTGTGCATACCACCATGTAGAGAGCTCCGACTGAATATTCTGTCAGCCACATGAGAGCTTCATAACAAATGCCCGCAGTGGGCCAGACGCGTGTCACACCAGGCGCTTTTTTATTCTGCAATAGTGTGAAGGGCTACAGGGCCTTTGAGACCTCACCTTATCAGATACAGTAGCATCTAACAATCTATTGCAAAGCCGTGTGACGGCACCTGCAGTGCCTTTGTTTCTTATATACTCCCAGTTAGAACATCTCGGTCTGGGATAGTCCTGTATTGCTCTCTTGTTGGCACAATATATTTCATGGTCACTACTCTATAACATCTGCTACAAAAATAGGGATTTTGATTAGGCTCAACCCTGACTTTGAACAAGTTTAGTCTCATGGTATTTTGTGCCATCTGCTTTGATGTGGATTGAAATACAGACTAGTAATGTTATTAAATTCCACCCAAACCTTCAATGAATTTGACTGAACAGGAATGGTAATGATGAAGTGTACACAGATGTTGCCTCACTGGTTTGTGTCCTGCGGTTGTTTTGCTCTATGGGGCTTTGTTTACATTGTTTCGAAGCAGCGAAAGGGTTAAGTGCTAGGTCGGGCACTGTCATAGTCAGCCCTGTGCCATACTGTTGTGTTAATGTTTCTTATATATGGGGAGTACTACATTGCTCCATAGCTATTCTCCAGGCGGCACTGATACCAACCTCACCATGGCCTGTGTATTGATTTCTTCCCTTGTATGGGTGTCTGTATCTATTTGTACGTCTGCTCCAGGAACAGTGGTTGATTTTATGTGCACAAGCTTGTAGGCTCTGGATGTTAGTCTAAGTACTATGTAAAAGGTTTAGGTTTGAGCAAGTGTGTTTCATATATGAGTGTGCTTGTGTGCTGCATGTAAATGTGCTTTATGTTTGTGTGCATGTGTGTATGCGTTGCTTATAGTGACAGGTTTTGCCTGAGCTGCAGGCAGCCTCTGCTGGGGGCTGCTCACTGATCACTGTCATTAATCTAGCCACTGACAGGGGCCTGGAGAGACAGGGGGCTGGAGGGTGGTGGGGTGTTGCAGGCAGGGGGTGAATGGTAAAAGGAGAGAGAGGAGGAAGTGTAA